TGCCGCCTCTTTAACAGCTGAGGTGGAAAAGCGGTAGACTCGATCGCAGACGTAGGGGACCTTACGCCCGACAATAGCCCGAGTAGTAGTAGTGTTTTCTCTCCCCGGCCTTAGTTTGCTTTGTCTTTGCACGCAATCTGAGTTCTGGTAATCCTGTATGTCGGCAGCTTGAGCCGGGATTTTGGATTTGGTGGACACAACAATGAAAAAAACTCTTAATTTAAGCATATTGAAGTCCATTTTGGTGCAAAGTGGAGAAAATCTGGGAATTCGTGATAAATTCCGATTTTATCAGGACAATCATCCCAAGCACACATCGGGAACTCTGCAGATATGGCTCATTTAAAATTGCCCGCATATCATGAAACCATCAGCCTGGTCTCCAGATAATAATATTATTGATAATTGATGGGCTATATTGGACAGAAAAATTCGAAAGCGTCAAACGGACCTAAAAAACGCATTACTCGAAGAAGGGGCCAAAATGAGTCCCCAAGTGACTTAAAAATTGGTCGAATCAATCGCAAAAAGACTTAAAATGATTGTTTACACGAAGGCTGGTCATACAAAATATTATTTTATCATTTTTAGTTCTTAATCTTTAAAAAATATATACTTTTAAGGGCTGGTTGAAATAAGCTGTGGCATTCATTTTACCTGTTATTTGAGTCTTAAAATCAAAATAAATATTACAAAAATATTTAAAAATTTAGGAATTCATTAAATAAAAGTTAAAATACAGAGCTATAAATCTGCGTTTAAAGTGTTCCAATATCTCTCTTAATTTGGCAAATACAGCGACTTAAAGTTTTACTTGAGCACTGGTTGAAATAAGCTGTGAGCCACTGTATGTTTATGTGGTAGATATGTGGGTGTGGGTATGTTACTTTATGTGGTAGATATGTGGGTGTGGGTATGTTACTTCCTCATCCATTAGAAAAGAGCCTGTCCTCAGGCGGATATATTAGGGTATATGTGAGTGGGTATATTAGTTTGTGTAGTATTTTCGTTTAATTGTAGGGTATTTTCATTTGGTGCAATATTGTTTAATTCTGTTATATTTTCTGGGTTCTTAGTATTGTTTTTGTTTTGATTTTTATATTTACTTACAATGTTTCTCGGAATACTCTTAAATTTATAGATGATGTAAAGAATTAAAATTATAATTATTACAATTACAATAGTAAGTATTATAATTTGAAATGTGTTATTTTTTCTTGTATGTATTCTTATTAAATCTATTGCTTCAATTATTGACAGTGGTTCTATCATTGTTACATTATTGTTTACATAAATAGTTTGTGTGTACTCCGTTATAGTATTTGTTATTAAGATTTCTTCGATTTGTACAGAACAATTAAATGCTTTTACGATTTGGTTTCCTTCGACAACTATTGCATGATTTATACATGTTTGGTTAAAAATAGTTTTCGGTAAGTTCCAAGTAATTATAATATTTGGCTCTATATAATTTGTTTCATATTTTTTATACATTTTTGTGTAATTACATTCGGCATTGGCTTGGTTTAATATTCCTATAATGCATTTATTTTTAACTCTTTCTTTTGTGTTAAATGAAAATACTTGATTATTTTGAAAATAATATTTGTCTTCTAAAGGTTCTGTTAATATGTCATTAAATTCATTTGGGTAAGGCAAAATTTTGAATATTGAATTTTTATAATGTCTTTCAATTTATCAATATTTGATTAGTATTGGTTTGTAACGAAGTAGAGGTTTTTATTATTAATAATTTTTCTGAATTAACATGTGTTTAAGTATCATGTTTTAGTAATTTAGGGTTAAAAATACCTAGTCTAGTAAGTTGCATTCCTAGTTCTATGTCCTCTATATATTCAGTAAATTCTTGTAGATTAAAAATAAGTAAAGCCTTTCGTCTACATCATTGACCAAGCTTAAATGATTTATTGTTTCAATACCTTTGTTTACCGCATCTATTACTTTATTAAGTTCATTAGCTTCAATTGTGTTTTGTTCTAAATTTTCAATTTTATTTATTAATTCTTCTTTATCTTGTTCATCTAATGTTCCAAATAGATATTTGTATGTTGTGCCTATAAAATTTATAAGACCTCTTTTGCTACGTTTTGCAATTCTAATTCCATTAATTTCTCTGTTTAATTTCTCTGTTAATTATATAATTTGTTTTAAACCTGAAAATTCTTCTGATTGACGGTTACACAATGATATTCGTACCACCTCTACCGCCCAATCACAATGATATTACGTGCCCTACGTGACTGCCAAAAAAAAATGATGCGTCCAATGAACGAGAACTCCTTGCCATTGTTTGGTCACTAAAAAACCTCCGGAATTACCTATACGGAGTAAAAGGCTTACAGATTTTTACCGATCACCAGCCACTAACCTTTGCCGACTCGGACAGCTAAAACGCTGGAAGGGGATTATTGATGATCATGGCGCAAAACTAGTTTATAAGCCAGGCAAGGAAAACCTTGTGGCGGACGCATTATCCCGCCAGAACATATACGCCCTAGAAGACGGACAGGAATCAGATGCAGCCACAATACACAGTGAACATTCGCTAACGTACACGATTGATACAACTGACAACCCAGTAAACTGCTTCCGAAATCAAATAATAATTGAGGACGAAAACAGCTTCTCGGTAGACACATTCATTCTGTTTAAGAGTAAGGTGAGGCATACAATTAGAACACCTAATCGGGAAAACCTACTAAACGCACTACTAGATGTCGTAAACGCTGGGGTAGTAAACGCAATACACTGCTCCCTACCAACTTTGGCATTTATTCAACATCAGCTGGTCGAGTCGTTCCCTAGCACTTCCTTCAAGTACGCGAAGAGCTTTGTTCAGGGCATAACGGACACAACCGAACAGAGGGAAATCGTCATAACAGAACAAAACAGGGATCACCGAGCTGCACAGAAAAATGTGAAGCAAATCCTTAGAGATTACTTTTTCCCAAAAATGCTTCGGCTAGCAACGGAAATCACCTCAAACTGCAGAACCTGCTCTATGGCAAAATACAAACGCCATCCATCTAAGCAGGCGATAGCGGAAACACCTATTCCTGTTTCCCGTGGAGAAAACCCTACACATCGATATCTTCTCAACAGACGGAACACTTTTCCTCACTTGCGTAGATAAATTCTCGAAATTCGCCACAGTGCAAGCCATCGCATCGAGGGCTATTGTGGACAATAAAGACCCCCTTACTACACGTATTCAATTTCTTCCCGAAAAAAAAAAAAATTTTTGCGATAATGAAAGATCACTAAACTCTGAAACCATTAAATCAATTTTGTTAAACCACTTCAATATCACTGTTCGGGGCACCCCCCCAAAAAAAAACAATGGGCAAAAAGGAAAACCCAAAAAAAAAAAGCCCCCCCCCCCCCCCCTTTTTTTTTTGCCTTATCTCGCTAAGCTGTCGCGCTACGTATTCAGCGACTACATTGTAAAACCCAAATTAAAATATGAAGCCAGGCTTTCGGCTGCAGCAGTGCAGATTCGACTGGCAGAATAAACACGACACGTACATAAACTTATAATATTGAAAGCGTTATTATTACATAACCTAAGGGTGGCATTTTTGTTGTCTTCCCCCAAACATTTTGGTGACCCCGACGTGATCGCTGTTTTATTTGCCGTCTGCAACTCGGTTTTATTATTGTTTTATATCGTTTAAACAATATATTTTTGGTTTCGCTGTCGTTTGCGGGCATTCGGTCACAAACACACGGACTTACATACAAGTGCACACAGCTGGCCGTTTAAGTTTTACATTTCGCGCTGTGAAAAGCCGGCAGGCTGTTGATCTTTTTGTACATTTCGCGCTGTGAAAAAATCAAAACAGTGTTGTGCTGCAAATTATAAACAAAAGGAGAATAACATTTAACTATTCTAAAAGTGCATAGTGCAGTGCATACATATACATAATTTCAAGTCCGCTGTTATAAGGCGGAACAACAACAACAAAGTTCCGTTGCGTTTTCGACGACGCTTGGTGTCGCGCATTTTTCGCGGCAAAGGTTAAAAGGTTATTCACCCCTCTTAACCGGTTCGGACATTTTTCTTTTATTTTTTTTGTGTGCGACTAAAAAATGGCTGCTCCAGACAACGCGGTTCGGCCTCAAAATGACGCGCCAAATGAAATAGAATTTTTTCGCGCCAAAGTGCAATCAATTCTGCGGCAAACAAACGCGATGAAATTATATTTAACAACTGAGTCTATAGATCAGTTGGATGAAGCTGATCTTCTCGCGCGATTGGACTGGGTCAATTCCTTAAATTCGTCGTTTGACTCCGCACAGACATCGCTGGAACGGCTGGATTTAAAGGAGACTTCGAGTGATAGGCGATGGGAATTTTCGGAGGTTTTTATGGATGTGAAGGCGAAGCTCAATAGAGGCTTAGCGGCCCAGCGCAAATTGCAATTGTTGGGTAGCACAGCTGCCAACTCCACATCTATAGACATCAACCAACATTCTGATCTTTCTTTTCGGACACGGAAGCCTCGATTACCGAACCTGGAGATTGCTCGATTTCATGGATCTTATGCTGAGTGGCCGGACTTTCTCGCAACGTTCACCGCGGTCATTGGAAATGATGACGAGCTAAGCGACATTGAAAAGCTGCAATATTTACGGTCTAGTCTAGGCGGCGTGGCTCTGGAGACCATACGCTCGCTCGAACCTTCAAATGACAATTATAAAAAGGCTTTGAATCTGCTCATAAATCGATTTGATAATAAAGTTTTACATTTTCAGGCACACGTTCAAGCAATATTTGGTTTAAAAGGTGTCGAGAAGGGATCTGCCAAGGGTCTTCGTGAGCTCAGCGATTCTATGAACGCACATCTTCGGGCAATCCAAACGCTGGCCACTACTCAGTAAATTTTGGATGGATTACTGATTCATATCGTCGTTCACAAGCTGGATCAACGGACTTTGGAAAAATGGGAAGAGGATTTGCCAATCGCTGAGTTATCTTCATGGACTGCTATGCAGTCGTTTTTGGAGAGGAGATGCAGGATGATGGAAAATTTGGATCAAGCTTTGGTAACGCAAACACCAGGCCATCAGGTGGGAAAAAATGTGCATAAATATAACCCAAGTGCACTCATTGCGTCTTCTACTAACTTAAATCATCCAATATGCCTATTTTGCGATGCGAGAGATCATTATTTGCCAAAGTGCTCTAGATTTTTAAATTTGAGCCCTCATCTTCGATTTAGAGAAGCCAAGAAAATGCACCTTTGTCTAAACTGTTTGCGCAAGGGGCATAGTTTGCAGCAATGCAAATCAACTCATTGCAGATATTGTCGCATGAAGCACCACTCACTATTGCATATGACCCCTGACTCATCCGCACCACCTCCATCATCAGACCCACTCTCGAGCTCTCAGCCATCACCATCTACTTCATCAGCACTGGTGTCATGCTCACAACTTGATCGTCAGGTATCGCACCCTCCACCAAATGCTTCAAATACTGTGCCAATAAATTACGTGTTGCTGCCTACTGCTATTGTCTATGTAAAAAATAGGGTTGGTTCATTTATGCCCTGTCGAGCAATCTTAGATTCCGCTTCTCAATTGAACTTTATAACTACGCGCCTAGCTAGCCAGTTAAATTTGAAATATAGGCATTCGCATATACTAATTTCTGGGATCGGTGAGTCCTCTATGAACTCTGATAAATCAGTGGATATTTTTGCGCAATCACGGGATGCAGGCTATCGTGCGTCATTCACAGCTGTTGTGACTCACAGTATCACTGATTATCAGCCGAATTTCAACATAAATACATCAGGATGGAGGATTCCACAAAACATTTCGCTCGCTGACCCTTATTTCAACCAATCACAACGAATCGACTTGTTAATTGGCGCTGGTCTGTTTTTCGAAATAATTGCTATGGGGCAAATACATTTGGATAGCATGTTGCCAACACTCCAAAACACCAAACTTGGTTGGATCGTTTCTGGTGGGATGTCGACTACTCCAAATCATAAGTCTGTCTTAGCCGCCATTGTCAAGGATACTACGGATCATTCTGAGGATGACGCACTTGCTGCCATAGTAAAGCGATTTTGGGAAATTGAGGATTGTAATCCATCAAAGCCAGCACTGTTGCCTGAGGACTTGCAATGCGAACAACTGTTCAAGGAAAACTGCACTAGACTTGGGAATGGTCAATACTCTGTTCGTCTCTTATCCACTTCGGGATTCGAAAGTTTAGGTGATTCCTATTGCCTAGCTCGTCGTCGTTTTAGGAGTTTGGAAGCTAAGCTAGATAGAAACCCTGTTCTCAAAGCTCAGTATTCGGCCTTTCTCCAGGAATACATCAACTTAGGCCACATGTCTCTCGCACCAAAGGATCCAACAGTACCACAATTCTTCTTGCCCCACCATTGTGTGCATAAGCAGGAAAGTACGAGCACAAAGCTTCGGGTCGTCTTTGATGGGTCTGCTAGAACTACTTCTGGCAGCTCTCTGAACGACTTGCTTCTTGCAGGGCCAACAATTCAGCAAAAAATCTTTAACATTCTACTTCGCTTCCGATTTTTTAAAGTTGCCCTCTGTGGAGACATCTGCAAGATGTACCGCTGCGTGCGTGTGTCCCACCCGGATGACTTTTTGCAGTGTATTGTTTGGCGAGAGAAGTCCACGGATGAGTTGAGTGTTTACAAATTGAACACGGTGACTTATGGTACCAAGCCAGCTGCCTTTCTGGCTATAAGAGCCATGCATCAGCTCTCTTATGATGAGGAGGATTCGTTTCCAATTGGAGCAAAAATTGTTCGTAGGGACTTCTACGTGGATGATTTAATCTCTGGTGGCGAGTCAATTGAAGAGGTTAGGGAAATTCGTCGTCAGGTGAAGGATCTATTGTCGCGAGGCCATTTTCCAATCCGCAAATGGTGTTCTAATGATGGACGCGCCCTCGAAGGAGAGTCTGACTGCGATAAGGAGAAGCTAATTCAATTTCACGACGGATCAGCTGTTACCAAGGCGCTGGGATTAGCCTGGGATCCTTCTTCTGACCAACTTCTGTTCAACTTTTCTCAATTATCTGTAAATCATCGAGTCACCAAGCGTATTGCACTTTCAACAATAGCCAAATTCTATGATCCGCTCGGTTTAATAACACCGATTGTCACAAAGGCCAAGATCTTTTTGCAATCCCTATGGAATGCTAACGTGGATTGGGATGACACATTACCAGAGCCTATTCTTTCGTCATGGGGGAGTTGACCTCTCAGTTATCGATCGTCCAAAACTTGAAATTTTCACGATTCGTAATGCAACCTCAGTCTTCCATCCAGTTGCATGGATTCTGCGATGCTAGCATAGCGGCTTATGGAGCGTGTTTATATTTGCGGTCGGAGGCCAATGGAGAAGCAAAGGTCCACTTGCTCTGCGCCAAGTCGAGAGTGTCCCCTTTAAAGGCTTTGACAATTCCAAGATTGGAGTTGTCGGCAGCGCTTTTATTGGCGGAGCTTATCGTAAGCGTCAAGGAAACCATCGATTTCGAATGCGACTTTTATTGCTGGTCCGACTCGTCTATCGTACTGGCGTGGATTCGGCAGCCTCCGAGGGATTTCAACGTATTTGTATCCAACAGAATCGCGAAAATTCAGGAGATGACAAAAGGCATGACTTGGCACCATGTTCCAACAAGCTTAAATCCGGCGGATGTCGTATCGCGAGGCTGTACCCCGAGAGAATTGCTGGAGCACTCCCTGTGGGCTAACGGGCCTCCATTCCTGCTGCAAAGCTCGTCAAAATGGCCCTCTCTTCCAAATGCAGTTAAGGATCTTCCAGAACGTCGTTCCGCAGCGCTAGTTGGAACTGTTTGCACTGACATTTCGATCAACTGCAAATTCCTTAACCCTTTTCATAAGTTGCAGCGTGTATTTGCGTACATTTATCGGTTCATTTCGAATTGCAGAGCAAAATCTTCACCTTCAAGGAACCGTATTACCGTTGAGGAGCTCAATTCGGGGATCGTACTTCTTCTGAGGAGCATCCAACAGGTTCACTTAGCCAAGGAATATGGATGTCTTAGCCAGGGCAGGCCGTGTCCACAGAAGAGCAAGCTGATTTCGCTGAGACCAATAATCCGATGGATTACTTCGCGATGGTGGAAGACTTCAGAATGCAAATCTGGACTACGATACTCAGCATCCGATATTGTTACCCAAGGATCATCCAGTTACAAAGGCAATCATCGTATATTTTCATATAAAATACTTGCACGCAGGATCGCAAGCGTTACTTGCCACATTAAGGCAAAGGTATTGGCCAATTGGAGGACGAAAGTTCGTGGCTACCGTCATCAACAAATGCGTCAGATGTTTTCGGATGAAGCCTGTCACTTGGGAGCACGTTATGGGCAGCCTGCCAGCCAATCGAGTTCAGCCTAACCCAGCATTTCATACCACGGGAGTAGATTATTGTGGACCATTTTATCATAAGGCAGAGGCCCGCAACAAGGCGCCTCACAAGTGTTACATAGCCGTCTTTGTCTGCTTCTCTACGAAGGCCACGCATTTGGAAGTCGTCCAGGATCTCACAACGGATTCTTTCATCGCAGCGTTGAGAAGATTCACCAGCCTGAGAGGCACTCCGCGCACTATTTGGAGTGACAATGCGACGAATTTTGTCGGCGCTAAGAGCGAGCTAACCGAGCTGAAGAATCTATTTCTGAGCGAACCCCACACGGCTGCGATAGCTTCCTCTTGCTTAGCTGATGGGATTGATTGGAAGTTCATACCTCCGCGTGCCCCACATTTCGGTGGTTTATGGGAGGCGGCTGTTAAATCGGCCAAATTTCATTTTTATAGAGTCGTCGGTGCTTCCATCTTGGGCCTCGATGAATTGAGAACTCTCGCTTATGAGATTTCTGCCATTCTTAACTCCCGTCCACTCTGTCCAATTTCAGAAAACGCTGAAAGTCTTGACGTGTTAACGCCGGCCCATTTCCTGAAAGGCTCCAGCTACACAAGGTTTCCTGAGCCTGATATCACGCATCTCCGAGAAGGCCGCCTCAGCAGATGGCAAAGGGTGACACAGATGCAGCAGCAATTCTGGAAGCGGTGGAGCAGCGAGTACTTATCCTTGCTCCAAGAAAGGAGTAAGTGGCGCGTCGAAACATCCAACATCAAGGTCGGAAGCATCGTGTTGCTGAAGGAGGACAACCTTCCACCCTTGAAATGGCAGCTGGGGTGCATCCAAGGAGTCGTTCCAGGCGAGGACGGTGTCGTCAGAGTAGCTATGGTCCGTACAGCTACGGGTCTAGTCAAGAGAGCCGTCGCCAAGTTAGCCGTTCTGCCCATCGATTCCCATTTAGTTGGAGCCCTACTTCCTCCAACGGGGGAGTATGTTCGGAGCAGCCCGCCTAAACTAGTCTAGTGCGCATAGGTGTATCGCTGAACCTGTAGCGCTCTTGCGCTCTCCTCTTTATATCTGCCTTATCTCGCTAAGCTGTCGCGCTACGTATTCAGCGACTACATTGTAAAACCCAAATTAAAATATGAAAAAATATTCGGCTGCAGCAGTGCAGATTCGACTGGCAGAATAAACACGACACGTACATAAACTTATAATATTGAAAGCGTTATTATTACATAACCTAAGGGTGGCATTTTTGTTGTCTTCCCCCAAACAATCACCATTTCCAACGCTCCACCCCTACATAGCACCTCAAATTGGCAAGTGGAGAGGTTTCATAGTACTCTGGAGAAAAAAAAAAGAGCAAGTGTATAGAACTGGAAAACAAATTAAACGACACTGTCGAATCAATCCTTTTGGCAGCTAACAAATATAAAAATTCAATTCACTCAGTAACCGATAGGAAACCAATGGAAATAGTTCACTCACAGTCCACAGAATTCGAGAAAGGAATTAGTAGGAAAATTCAACAGGCCCAAGAAAGGAGCCTTGACCACACAAACAAGGGTAGGACTTATAAGGACTATCAGGTCGGCGAAAAAGTTTTTCTTAAAGCAAATAAACGCCTGGGAAATAAACTCTCACCGCTATGTTCGGAAGAAGTTATTGAAGCAGACCTGGGGACAACGGTCCTAATTAGTGGGAGGGTGGTCCACAAGGACAATCTGCGCTAATCATCTTCGCTAGATTCCCGACCCATTTTTATACTTTTTATATTTTGTATACTTTTTATTCTTATATTCCTTTTTTATAACTTTATATTTCTCTAGGTTAGGAAGGTGCGTTTTACTTTTGGCACTAACGGCTGTTAGGACGGACGGGACAGTAAAACTGAACGACTATACGAACGCAGACTATATCCCAATAGAGGACGGTAACATAGTAGTTTGGGAATCTTACGGATACTTACAGCACGCAACGAACATGACGACCTACGAAGACTACGCCGACCAGACTGAAACATTGACGGGTACTTTTACTGATGACCATAGAATACCAGTTATAACAACAGACCTTAAGCACATTCGCAAGTTGGTAGCTACCCTAAAAATCCATCATAGGTCCGCTAGAAGTATAAACTTAATTGGGACAGCTTTAAAGGTCATTGCAGGCACTCCCGACTTTAATAATTGGGAACAGATAAAATTCAATCAAGAGCAACTGATGAAAGCTGACGAGGGGCAAACTGAATTAAATATTAAATTTCAGGAACGTTTGAACGAACTCGCGAGCGCAATGAATCAAATTCAGAAGTTTGAAACCAATAAAGAAACACACCTCTTGGAAATCATTTTGGCAAAAAATAGAATCGTTATCACAGATCTGGAAAATAAATAAATAAATAAATGGGCTTAGCCCTAGCAAAATTAAATATTGTAAGTCCGGAAATTCTAGATTGGCGAATTTAGGGACAAGCAGCCTATTAACATTAGTTTAATAGAAATATTAGAAGTATCTAGTATAAGTGTTTTTCAAAATTCCGATATCCTCCATTTTCTTATTAAATTTCCTAATCCTAAGATCGTATGTAACAAGATAACGGTCTATCCGGTCCAGCACAACAAAAAAATCCTGGACTTTGAAAAAGGAAACCTAGTCGCTGAGTGCCCAGGGCGAAATCTCAACATCGGATACTGCAAGACGACGGTTGGCGCCACCTTCTGCAGGGAGCTCCAAAATGGTACTTGTGCCCAGCAACTAGTTTCAGGAGCTACTGCGCACTGCTCCACGCTTCCAGGCCATCTGGATCCAGTTACGGTAGAAGATCACGGCAGCCTCATAGTGAACGAGGCCAACATGACCATAACCGACGACCAAGGACGGGACCAAAAAATATCTGGGACCTACCTGGTAACCTATTCCGACAGAATAAGTCTCGACGGAACTTGGTTCATAAATCAGCTGGGAATCTCGATGAAAAAAACCGTCGTATCGGCCATGGCCGTTGTCAACGTCACGGCACACCAAAACCGGCTAAGTCTCCCATTTCTCCACGAGCTGAGCCTGAGAAACCTTCACCACATCGGGACCCTTAGAGAAGAGCTTACCTTGGGCTCCCTCCTCAGCTACTCCATTACCCTACTCGCCTCCTTCCTACTGTGTTCCACTGTTTGGCTCGGGTACCACCATCTGAATCCTGGTCTTCAGCCCCGTCAAATCAGGGACTAACGGTGACGTAGAAGCAGCAGGTTAACACACCCAGTTCCCACAAAGACCAAGTTGCAGGCAATATCCGGTGGCCAACACGCGCAGTAAGGAAACCGCCCACTCTGCACTCCGAGGGCAGTTGCCCGGAGCCCGGTCAGAGCACTCGCGGAGCGAGTGATCGCCTCCGGCCGGATATCTGCTGCTGACCTGGCGCTTTATTTCTGGCGCTGGGAACACTTACTCTCCGGATGATCGCCACCGGCCGGATACCAAGTGCTGAACCGGCACTTTAGGGGCAGCGCTGCGTCCAGGCAGAAGCCTCGAGCCGCGGCCGGACCGGGACCTTAAGTTAGTCTAAAATTGTACTCTGCAGCCTTAGCTGTGTTTTGTAAATCAAGTCTTGCTTATCCTCTACCTTAGTAGGTTTAGGAGAAATAAATAATAAACTTAATATCACACCGTGTCTTTATTATCCTCTGCCTTAACAGGTTTAGGAGAAATATGGATTAAATAAATATCAAATACCAAACCTAAATAATTGGCCCTCAACGTAACCGATCCCGCGATACTCGGTACCGTGCGAATTGCAAAAAAGTAATTTGCAATTCGAAGTTAAAGTATTAAAAATACTCGCGCGACACCGTGCAGTGAATTTTAAAAAAATAAATAAATAATTAAATTGCCTATAAAAATAAAATAGAATAACGGCAAAATAAATAAAGCAAATAAAGCATCGATATTGGCAGTAGAGACATATAAAATTAAACGCTAGGAAATCAGCGACGGGAAATAAAGGGAAACGCAAGACCTCTTACCCGCCACCCGAGAAACCACAACGACGGCAGCAGCAGCAGCGACAGCGGTAACAACAACGACAACTGTAGCGGCGACAGAGACGACTGCAACGGCGGCAGAGACAACAGCGGCGACAGAGACAACTGCAGCGGCGGCAGAGACAACTGCAGCGGCGGCAGAGACAACTGCAGCGGCGGCAGAGACAACTGCAGCGGCGGCAGAGACAACTGCAGCGGCGGCAGAGACAACTGCAGCGGCGGCAGAGACAACTGCAGCGGCAGAGACGACTGCAGCAGAAAAGGCGGCAGAGAAGGCAGCGCGTGCAGAGCCAACAAATAAAAAATCTCGACGGCGGAGTAACCATAAGAAATGTGAGTAGGCTTCTTGTCTTTTTTTGACTCGCCAATAAAAAAAGTATTCGGAGAAGTAAAATTGCCGGTACAGTGGGCACATTATTACTTTCCCCACACAAATTTTTTTTACTTTTAATTAATAAATAAATAATAAAGTATTCGGAGAAGTAAAATTGCCGGTACAGTGGGAGCACATTATTATTTTCCCCACACAAATTTTTGTTATTTTTGAACAAATTAATTATTAATTGCCAAGTGAAACAAGGAGTATTTTTCTAAAAATATTAAAATATTAAAATTATAATAAAATCTATTAACGGTGGGAACATTACTATTCCCCGTTAAATTAAATTTTTATTTCAATTAATATAATGAATTATTAATTAAAACAAATAATATATTTCAAAAATTTTTTAAAATTTATTTCTTATAATAAAAATTACCATTCTCACATCTAATTGTCGGAGTGGGAAAACATTAAAACTCATTTACACAATATTTAAGAAAGCTCTTGATCGGATTTCGTCGCACCCATAGAAACGTGTGCTACACCTTTTTATTTGAATTTTTTTCTCTCTTCTACTGTCGTTGTGGAAAAAAATAAATATTGAAAATAAATTATTCTCATGAAATATTTCGAAATACGGACCTATGTATAGGGTTAACGAGGGGGTTTCATCGGACGAGGAGGTTCTCGAGGAATATAGGAAACTCTTAAATACAAACATAAAAAATAAAAACTACCAACATTCCGAGGCAGATTGCCCATCTAGCAGTAGGGCAGTATTCATTCGAGACAGCGTTCTCAACGTCACAAACCCAGAAACCCAGCAACAAGCACAAGATATGCAGGCAGAACAGACGCACTCCAAAAACAACAGCAGCTATTTGATGAAAAATTTGCCGCAATTATAGGGGAGTTAAACTCATTAAAAGTTAAAGATAATGTCCCACGAATCCAAACATTCGAAGAAATTAAATTAGAACCACAAAGAGTACGTTGTGACGAACCTCTTGACATGGTCAAGTCAGTCCCAGAATTTGACGGTAAGCAAAATTATGTTTGCTGGAGACAAGCTACCACCGCAGCCTACAAAGTATTTGAGGGCTATGAAGGCAGCAGCCGACATTATCAGACTGTCGGAATACTGAAAAACAAAGTAAGGGGACCAGCGGCTGCTGCGCTATCCTCTTTCAACACGATATTCAATTTTCATGCCATACTGGCACGCCTAGACTTCACGTATGCGGACAAAACTCCGACACACGTAATTAAACAAGAATTAAGCTTGTCGAGGCAGGGTGAACTACCTCTGCTCAAGTATTACGATGAAATAGAACGGAAGCTAACGCTTCTAACTAACAAAACTATCAACACAGAGAAGACGCTTTGCATGCGTTCATATCTGGGTTAAAAAAATCACTGAAAATAGACGTTTTTCCGGCACAGCCACGGGACTTGCGGTCAGCATTAGCGTTAGCACAAGAGGCTGAATCAAGTAACGAAAGGAGAATATTTGCGGCTACCTTCGCCCGGCACAGTGAAGAAAAATCATATAAGCCGAGCAACCAGCGACAAACAGGTTGGAAAAATTATGAGCAGAACCAAAATCAAGGGGCAATAAAAAAAACCCCCACTTCGTTAGGACCCAGAAAGGAGCCAAC